TTACGAAGTAGGTATTATTACTTAAACTTATTTAATAGATGAGGACACATTGAAGATTAGAAGATTAAGTAATACATCCAAGGTCACACAACTAGAAAGTGAGACCCAAGTCTTATCCGTTTCCAAAATTCATTCCTGAATTCCTATGCAGGTGAGATAAGGAAGAAAAGCTGCTTTACTGAACATAGTTATACTTGAGCTACATCTTTACATTGAAATAACCAGACTTCTGTAATATACATGAAAGGACCAGAAAACAAACTTTGTAAACTGTAGAAAAGACGAGATACTTAACATATTTTCATTTTCTCAAAGTGTGCATTTCCTGGGTGTTTGGATTTTCGTTATTATTTGTTACTGTTGGATACTTAGGCACTCCTATAAAACTCAGTTTTTCATCAAAAAAAGAAATATACAATAATTGAATTAAAGTTAGGCCTATGATTTATTAAATTATGGTAACGTAAATTGTTTTTGACATTGCTTCCCATTTATTGAACAAATCTAACACTTATATGCTCATAAATTCCCACTGATATATTTGCTCCAGTTCCTTTTCATCTGTTCAATAAATTCTGTTAAGAGTATGAAGGAAAAATAAAATTTGTGACAATAATTTTATTTAAGTATTTTGGGAATGGTCTGAAATATCACTCTGTCCTATAAAAGTTGCTCATTATGCAAGGTTTGAGGCATTACATATTAGACTTCTACAAATGGCTTACTTCTGAAGCAATTCATCATTTCTCCAAAGATTACTTACTCTAGAAAGCTGGTGATATAGTCTCGACTGCAGGCAGACCAGGAAAAAGGATTGGTATTTGCAGTAATGTGAGCTGCCATAAGTTTTGCTGCTTCATGACCTTTCGTCCCACAAGAATTTCCAATTCCATCATGGTTCATACCAAAACTGTTTTAACGAGGAAGAAAGATAAGAAACAGAGAAGAAAGAAATAAGAAAAGACAAACAAATAAACCCCAACACATTCTTTATTTCCTTCCACTCGTCCTTTATTTCCTTATTTAACTATTCATTTACCTTAGCAACATATCGAGACACTCCATATACTCTGAGAAAATGTAGGACTAAAGTTAAGAAAAAGAAACTAAGGAATAATTCAATAACACAATGTATTTCTAAAAATCCTTACATTTATTGTATACTCACTTTATAAATGAGTTAACTGAGGTTTCAAGATAAATGAGCAGTTAAAGATATCATTCTGGTACTGTTAGTAGCACCCATTATTAACATGCCGGTATTTATCCTAGCTTACCAGGCTGAATCCAAAGGGAATTATAAAAACATGGTTATGATTCAATGATTTCTGGAGTATAAGGCAAAAAGAAGTACTTTGTCTCATTTGTACAATGTAGAATTTAAAACTTAGGCTATTTATGTGTGCATGTGTGTTTTGAAAACACATTTTGAAAAACCTTGATACATTAAAGGCTGTGAGTAGATATTGTTTTTCTTTGCCATTTTACAAATATTTTATTTGACACTTTGTCCTGTGCTCTCACCGTATATTTCTGTGATAAATGAGAACTTTTTTTCTGAAAAGGATATGACTTATGCATATGAATAAATTTTGACTTCTCTTTATAAGTAACCAGAAGTTTAGGCTGACCATTACTGAAAAACAAATTTATGCTTCTATTATGGCATTCTAATCGATGTATCATGCTGTATGCTAAAGAAAAGAAGTAAAATGTCTGGCTAGAATTTAAATAGATGGAGATTATTGCTGGAGTAAAATCTGAACAGGTAATTGAAAGTAGATAATTATAGATAACACATGAAAATAACTATTAATACTTGTGTTTGGGGCAGTATATATGCATTTAAATAGACACTTTGAGTAAGAGCAACCAAAGAGTTTTGAGTAGGAGAACATGGAGATAATCCACATTTTTTTATTCAGGTCATTGTAATATTTCTATGGTGTAGACGCTACAGTGGGATCAAGGACAGCAATCAAAGATCTTTACAAATTGAGGAATCATGTTGGTTTGAACTAGGTTAGTAGGATGGAAAGAAGGGATAAGATTTGAGATATGATTAGGAAGACAAATGAATTGGCATTTATAACTCTACAATATTAAAAAGCAATAATGAAGACATATAATATGTGCTACACTTAGCAACAGGGAGGAGCTAGTAAGTCAAGTGGAAGCATCAACACAAGCAAAAGAAGAGAAATGTTTTGATAGGATATTGTTGTTGTTAAAGTGCCATGGAGTCAGATTTGACTCACAGCAACCAGGTAAAGGATTTTTAAGGAGCTTCTGATGGGCTTGAAGTGCTGACCTTGGGGTTAGCAGTCCAGTGCTTATCCTACAGCATCACAACAGGATTCCATTTAATAGTATGGTGATGGTGGTTATGTGCCATCAAGTTGGGCCTGACTCATAGCGACCCTCAATGGGTGTCCTATACTGTAAATCTTTGCTATTGCTAAGCACCGTCAAGTTGGTTCCTACTCGTAGGGACCCTGTATAGGGTTTCCGATGAGCAGCTGGTGGGTTTGAACTGTTGACCTTGTGGTTCACAGTACAGCGCTGATCCTATAGCACCGCACCAGTAGTCCTATAAATCCTTACAGGAGTAGAAAGCCTCATCTTTCTCACATGGAGTAGCTGGTGGATTTGAACTGCTGACCACTATGCCGTCAGAGCTTCTTATTTGATAATATAGTGGTTGTGTGCCCCAGAGTTGGTTCAGACTGATAGCCACCTAATATAGAGATTCCAAGGCTGTAAATCTTTACAGGAGCACTTGTATACAGAACCCTAAATTAAAATCCCAATAAAACTAAAATCCAAGAACACAATATTTAGTCTAATAATTTTATATCAACATATTGGAATCAACCTCCATGAATGATTTTCTAAGGACATGATGGTGGAGTTTCAATTTCTATGAATTAGGCATGTACTCTGTCAAAACAATCACTATAGATTTATATAAGGAGTTCATGTAAAAACATAATTGAATTGTTATTGTTGTTCAGTGCTGTAGAGTCAGTTCTGACCCATAGAGACCCCGTATAGGGTTTCCAAGGAGCAACCGGTAAGCTTGAACCGCCAACTTTGCGGTTCAAACTAACTTTGCAGTCCAGCGTCACAACAGGAGTCCATATAATTTAATAAATACATGCTATTGTATATTTTTCTCAAAGGCTAAGGCTACTGTTAATGCATTCTTTTCAAGTAAAAATAGTTTAAAATATTATTTATTTTGAGCAGCAATCTTGTAATACTGAGTCATGCTAAGTCTTGGGAGTAGACAGGCATTTCTAGATCCTCAAATTCTTATAAAAGCAAGCTTCTCCTTTCAAAATAATATTCCTCCCACGTTACAAAAAAAAAGGAGGCATATTTTTCCACCATTCATAATTTTATGAATAATGCATTCATTGCCTTAGGGTATACAAACTTATGGATGCCAAGAAAAGAAACAATTGGAAAAACATTTGGTGTCAGTGTCAAGAAAATGAATGAATTATATCAGATGGTTTTCAATTCACTACTTTGATCAAGTTTGAAGAAGAATCTAAGCAAATTAGCAGCTGAATATATTGTTTAAATTCTTTTTCATGATAAATGACCATAGTTATTATGATTTTTTAAATAAATAATTCAAATGGAGTTCAAAGAATCAAGCGATGTTCCTACAACAAACTCCTTTCATTCTCATTGATTAATTTTCTCAGCACTCACATCTATAGAAATAAAATTTAGGAATAAAATCGATGCTGAAATGCCATTTTCTTCTAGCACTACACATTGTACTGGTTACTGAATAACATGCATTAAAAAAAGCAGTGGGTTGGTAGTGGTAGTTATGTGCTATGAGAGTCAGTCCCGACTCTTAGCAACTCTGTATAGGGCTTCCAAGGCTGTAAATCTTTATGTGAGCAGAAGGCCTCATTTTTGTCCCACAGAGCAGATGTTAGATTCGAACTGCTGACCTTTCAGCTAGCAGCCCAGTGCACAACCCACTATGCTACCAGGGCTCCTGAAATAAATATGTATCTTCTAATAAAAATTTTATGTTTAATAATTATTTAGCAAAATGTGTACTCCTCTGATCATTCATTAACTATTACTGTTGTTGTTGTTGTTGTTGTTGTTGTTAAGTGCCGTCGAGTCGGTTCGGACCCATAGCGACCCTGTACAGGGTTTCCGAGGGTGTAAATATTTATGGGAGTAGAAAGCCTCATCTTTCTCCCGCGAAGCGGCTGGTAGTTTCGAACCGCTGATCTTAAGGTTCGCAGCCCGATTCGTAACCACTATGCTATCAGAGCTCCTTTACTATTACTGTAATGAGCTTTTAATCCAGAAGAAAAATTATTGTTTCTTGTTGTTACTGTTGTTGTTAAGTGCCATCAAGTCGGTTCTAACCCATAGCGACCCTGTATAGGGTTTCTGAGGAGCAGATGGTGAGCTTGAACTGCTAACCTTGTAGTTCAAACTGACTTTGCAGGCCAGCACACTAACCCACAGCAACACAGAAAATTTTTTTAAATGTAATTTAAATTTACATATATTTTTGCATAGAGATACATGATATAACTATTAAACTACGTTTAAGCATAAAATATATTTTTAAAGTATGTTGGTATATACAAGACAAACGTATTGCTACAGAATCATAGAAACATTTATTTTAAAAATATCAAAATATGAAGTTATTTTTTCTTGAATATCCTCCATGTAGATCTATATACATCTCAAGGTGATGTTTTTATTACTCTAATCCTTCTCAAAAGAATTCTGTGCTCTTCAATTTACACCACTACAAAACAGCAGTTTTTACATCCTCAAGAGATTCAAATTGTGTTCCTTTTCAATGAACTTGAGTTTGAGGGACAAAAAGAAGTCTGAAGGGATAATATCAGGGATATACGTAGATAGGGAAGGTTTCCCAGTTAAATTATTGCAGGACAGCCCTGGCTGCTCTCTAAGAATTAGCAGATGCATTGTCATGATTATTACTGGGCATTACTTTCCTGGTCTTTTCCTCACCAAGGCAGTTTTTTATTTTCTTAAAACTTCTTCATAGTAAGTTCCCATTATTGTCTTGTGTCCTTTGAGAAATGTTACCACCACCACCCCTTTGGAATTCCCAAATACAGTCTTCTGAGCTGACCTCTCTGTCAGCAGCTCCCTCAGAAGACACTGCTTTGATTGGGCTTGGCTCACTGTATCATATTGGTTAAATCCAAGACTCTCCCCTGGTTAAAATTTACTCCATAAAATCATCTTCATTAGCTTCAACCTTACTTAAACCACTAATGAACACTTAATGCAATGCTTTTGGCACCCAACCAGTCAAAAATTTGCTGAGGCCAAGATTTTGCTTAAAATTAAAAATGCCAAACCATGTGAGATCCCAACTTCAGTAGTGATTGCATCAAGTTTATGCTTCTGTCTAATCCACCAGTTTCTGGACTTCAGCCAGAAGTCTTCAGTTTCTTCATTCATCAAGGTTGACGGTCTTCCCTCTGTTAGCTCATCTTTGAGCTCTCCTCAACTTTCCTTAAAACACTTGATCCATCTGAAAACTGTTGTTTTGTGAGAGGCAGCATTCCCATAAATTTGTTGCAAATCTTCAAAGATTTGGGCAGATGTCTACTTGAGTTTTACTAAAAACTGGGTAATAGCCCTGACCTCAAAATCACTTTATGCATAGCACAAAAGTATCTTTCTTTTTGAAGATACCATAATGAGACTGTTGTTGTTGTTGTTAAGCACCGTGGAGTTGGTTCTGACTCATAGTTACCCTGCACAGGGTTTCCAAGGCTGTAAATCTTTACAGGAGCAGAAAGCCTCATCTTTCTCCCATGGAACTGCTGGTAGTTTCGAACTGCTGACCTTGAGGTTGGTAGCCCGACTCATAACCAC